GTGTGTGTGTGTGTGTGTGTGTGTGTGTGTGTGTGTGTGTGTGATCCTGCCCCATCTGATCACACACAGAGGAAACAGGATGACACCCCCCACCCACCCCGTCCCAGGAGTGCTTAAGCAGCCCTGGCTGGGGAACTTAAGGAAAACCCACCGCCCTTGAATTGCTCCCGACTCCCAGTGACCCTAGAGGACCCAACTGGACTGCGCCTTAAGGTTTCCAGGAAGCAGACGGCTTCATCCTTCTCTGTGGAGCGGCTGAGTGCTTTAACCACCATGCTTTAACAACCACAACCATTCCTGGCTTGACAAGATACTCTACCCAGGGGAGTCCACTTAGCAGGAGGCAGGATGAGTGTCCACCATGTGTCACTGCCCCGTTGGGCAGAGTGGGACCTTCCTGTCCCCACCAAAGGTGAGGCAGGCTCAGCTCCGCCTGCCAGCACCCACCCAGTCCCGGCTGGCATGCCTCTGCACTGGGTGGTGGGCACCGACGGAAACATGCTCGGCACCAGGGCTGCTGGCTGCCAGTGGTTGGAGGCATGGGGATAGGAGCTGCCAGCGCGGCAGTGTCCGGACACCAGGGGTTCTCTCCTGACCCGAGCCTAGGCTCTGACCTCTGCTTACCCAGGCTGACGTTCCTCGAGTTCTCCCGCTTGATGTCCCAGAAGAGATCCCTCTGTGCAGGGTCCAGGGACCCCCACTCTTCCTGGGAGAAGTAGAAGGGAACATCTCCAAATGTCACAGGCCCCTGGAATGAGATCAGCTTGGAGCTTCCTTGCTCCCAAGTCTCCAGGCTGCGGAGGGATGGGGTGGGTGGGGGTGGGGATGGGGCCAGCTGGCAGGAGTGGGACTGAGGAAAGCCATGGTTCATTTCAGGGACTGGGTCTCAGGCTAGTACTCACGTGGACCCCGGAGGCAAGGTGGGCACCCACAGATTCTCTGGAACGCCCCTCTTTAGGAAAGGCAGGGGGCTTGGGGGCGAGCTGGGCTGGGAAGAGAGAACAGAGCGTCAGGCAGGCCAAATCAGACTGGATGGAGCCACCATGCCCTGCTTCGCCCAGGCAGTAGATACTCATCCGACACCCGCTCACCCACAGATGCCCAAGGACACCCGGGCTTTGACACCACAGCAGACTCACATATTCACACCCGTACCCACCCCCCATGTGCACACACACTCAAACACACACATGCCTGACACCACCCACCCAAAGATGCCCACGGACACCACAGCAGACCCACCCTCACCCATCCCATTGTGCGTGTGCACATGCTCACACAACATACTCTCAAACACACCCACATGGCCTGCATTCTGAGGCCAACTCACCACTGTGGCTAGGCTGTTCACGGGGCGGCTGGCTCTGTGCCCCCACCTCTGGGGGAGGCCCCTGGGCTCCTTGAACTGCAGCCCCGGCTTCCAGTACCCCTTGGGGCACATCCTGTGCAGGAACCACAACATGCCCGTCAGCACGGAGCCCAGAGCGGGGCAGACAGGCCTATCCCTGGGAAGGAGACACAGGGGGCGACCCTCAGAGGATGCAGGGTGGAGTGTGAGCCCAGGCCGTGCTGTGCGCCCAGACCCGCACCATCCACCAAGGCCAGATCCCCAAAGCTAGCTCACAGCAGCCTGGCAAGCAGCATAGCCCACCTCCAGCTGCTCACCACCACTCCAGAGGACAGAGGCTCCCGAGGACAGCTCTACCTTCTGAGACGGACCCTTTCACGAGCTCTGCTCATAGGAGTCACTGTATCCCAGCGCCTGGCCTAGAGCAAAGCATGATGGGCACTGGTAGACCCTACGTGCAGCGGGGACCTGCTCTCCTGGGCCCCTTGGCTGCCCTCCCTCTGCGGCCCCAGAAGGACCTCTCCGCACCTGCTGTCCAGCTTTCCCCAGCTGCCTCTGCAGATCCTCCGCCAAGGCCACAGCCTCCTCACCGCTCCCTGGGCGCCTCTCGCGCACCTGGCCCTCCAGGCCCCCGGGCAGCACATCCAGGAACTGCTCCAGCACCAGCAGCTCCACCATCTGTTCCTTGGTGCGCAGCTCTGGTCGCAGCCAGCGGCAGCACAGTTCCCACAGCTGGCTGAAGGCCTCGTGGGGCCCACCTGAGTCCTGGTAGCAGAACTGCCGGAAGCGCTGGCGGCAGGTCTCGGCATCCCTGCTGTCCTCAGGCTGGCCACAGTCCTGCTCCCAGGAGGGGTCTTCCACCTTTATGATCAGAAGCCCTGCTCCCTCTCCAGGGGCCTGGTCCGGGGGCTCCAGGGGGGCCGCCATGGCCTTTGGCCTCAACCTGGCCTGAGCTTGCCCCTCAGTCTCCCAGAGGACTCCCCTGTGGTGGCTGGGCCAACATCTGGATACGTGCTCCTAAAAAGAACAAGATGGGAGTGGAGGGGGCACAGGAGTAAACATCACCTGAAGGGATTTCCAGGGACCCTAGCTCCTGTCCTTCAATAGCCCTGATGCCTCTTTTCACTAGAAATACATATTGAGGGGGGAGGGAGGGTAAAGAGAGGGGCTGATACCAAGGGCTCAAAGAGAAAGTAAATGTTTAAAAAATGACGATGGCAACATATGTACAAATATCCCTGATACATTTGATGTATGGATTGTTATAAGAGTTGTGAGAGCCTCCAATAAAATGATATTTTAATAATAATGATAATAAAAGAAATGCATATCGAGTTACAATCAGGGACTGAATTGTGTCCCAGAAAAATATATGTCAAGCTAACTGGGTCATGCTACTCAGTGGTTTGTGGGTACTGTGTTGATTAAATCATCCACCATGATGTGCCCTGATGTGAACAGGGGTTCCCTCTTACTCAGGTCACACCTTCAGCACCTTTATCTTACGTGCGATAAAAGGAGAGAGCAGAGAGAGGGACCTCATTACCACCAGGAAAGATGATGGCTCAATAGCAGAGCGCCTCCTTTGGACACGGGGCCCCTACGTTAAGTAGCTCCGAGACCCAGGGGGAGATTGATGTCCAGATCTCCTTCGAATGCAGAGCCCACAAATGCTGAAAAGAGTCAAGGATCCATCCCTCCACCCCCACCCCACCGCAAGTCCACATATGCCTTCCCCATGAGCTGGACTCCTGACTTTGGGCTTCCAGCCTGCAACTGTGAGAGAATAAATTTGCTGATGCCACCCACGTGGGTATCTCTGGGATGATAACAGTCGCCTTCCAGCCGATACTCACTCAGGGGGGCCCCACGGGTGAAAGACTGCTCTGGGCTTTCATGCCTGTTAAATTCTCAGGTCGACCTCTGGAGGCGCCCCTGCGTCAGGTGGAAGCCCCAACACCCAGAAGGCTAGAGCCTTAAACATTTTCACCACCCAGGCTCAGAAGAAGGAAAGGAGCCTCCCACTCTGGCTGCAAGAGCGGACTGATCACTGTGTGACATCTGACCGGCCTTCGCAGCACCGATTCGGCATTGCTGGGGCCAGGAGGCTCCCGATGGTCAGGGATGTGCGCCACTTTCCGAGCCGGTCCCCTAGGGATGCATTTCGCGCATCTCCAGATTTTCCCTGCGATACGCTGAGCACCTCGTGTGCTCGGGCCTCCGACGTCCTCAAGGTCCAACTCACCTGGGTCGCCGAGCGGACGCGGCAGCCAGCAGCGAGCCGAGGGGCGGTGGGTGCGCTCAAGGGGTCGCTCCGGAGCCGGGCGAGCGAGGGGCGCCCCGAACTCCTCCCGGCATTTCCCAGCGGTGTGCACGCCTTTGGCCTCCACCTCGGGGCGCTGGCCCGGCCCGGAGCCCCGCTCGCGCCCTCGGAGCGGGGCGGTCCCAGCGGCCGGTCCCCGCCCCCGGGACTCCCAGAACCCGCGGCGGCTCAGGTTTTCTCAGCTCCGTCGCCGGATCCTGGGGCCGGAAACCCGCGCTGAGATCGCTGGGAAGCCGCAGTGCGCATGCGCCATGTCAAGCATTCAGAACTACACTTCCCAGAAGGCTGTCGGTCGGCTGCGTCGGCCTACTTCCGCTGAGAACGGCCCGTGAGAGAGGAAGATTCGCAAGGATGGCCAATCACCAGGTAGCGGTGTGTTACACCTTTCCGCTGTGTGCGCGCGTTGAAAAGCCGAAATGTGCATCTTCACCCTCGTTGCCCTCCTCCTCCTCCTTCGAGTTTCTTTCAGTTTTCTCAGTATCTTTCCCTTGTAAAGGGCACAAAAGGCAAGTCCGTGTCTGGCCTGATGAGCCGGAAGGGATGCGCCGAGACAACCCTTTATGCTCTTTCAGCTCAAAGGGCTGCGCAGACGAGATCCTGGAGGTGCGTCCAGGGAGACCAGTCACTTAGGTCACCTCTTAGGTCCCGCCCCATCCTGTCTGTAACTACGATTGGCAGTTGGAATCCACGCCACAGCTCCGTGCCAGAAAAGACGTGGCGATCCGCACCCTTAAAAATGATAACCCTGGACACTTTAGGGGGCAGTTCTTTCGATAGCATCCCTGTGAGTCTGAACCCATTCAATGGCAGCAGGTTTGGTTTGGGGATAACGCAGGATAATCTCCCTTTGTTATCCCTAGTCATCTGCACACACAAAAAAACAAAAACAAAAAACATTGTTTGCTTTTTTTTAAAAAAAGGAAGTACCTGACCGCCAAGCTACTCCTGGCCCAGGAGGTCTTTTCAAGCGGCAAAGGCAGTCCGTCAGTCATTTTGGAGCGTCCAATACTGAATAATTAAACTGGGAGGCCTAAAGGCAAATAATCTCTTTGCAGCTGGTAAAAAAAACTCCAATGTTTGTCTATATGCCGTTAAAAAAAAAAAACGTCACAGATACGTGAAAGAAATGTCTAAAAATTTACCCTGGATACAAATTGAGTTGGTGCCCTGCATTCTGACTTCCAGTCTCCTAAACAGTAAGCAAATAAACGTGTATTTGCTAAAACTTCTCACCTGTACTACTTCTTATAAGCATCAGTAAAACTCACTGCCACCGCGGGGCTCCCTTCTGATTCATCGTGGCCCGAGAGCAGAGCAGAACTTCCCCTGGGAGTTCTCCAAGGCTGCACACCTCTATGGGAGCCGCGAAAGCCCAGCACATAACCCCCACCACCATCAAGGTTGCTCTGTGGTTTTGCTCCGAAATCCTCAGAATGACGTTGTTAGGTGCCATCGACTTGGTTCTGACCCAGCGACCCTGTGAATCACTGCCTGGTCCCGAGCTGCCCTCACAAACGTCATTATGTTTGAATCCACTGTGGGAGCTACTGGTCCAAGTCATGGAGGAACCACGACACAGCCCCTTAGAACATGGAGCACACAATGCCATCCTCTACGGATGACTGCTCCCCATCTGAGAAGTGTCTTCTTTCCTACTGCTGGCCACCAGGTTACCATTGAAGGACCTATCAAAAAGTGTGGTTCGATTGGCAATATGCAGCCATGCATGTAGCTCTGGGTAGCAGCATTTCGTGGAAGCGGTACAAATGTGATGGGGGTTGAGCAGGTCCTGAAGGCAAAGTCCATGAGAGGAAGGAGAAACGTGAGCCTGGGGTACTGTTGATTCTGCATGATGTGCAGTCACCATGAAAATGTGGATGGTCTAAATGTTGTCCCAGTTTATGGTGTTAGAAACAGATGTAGGACAGGGATTAGCCCTTCTGGGCAGCTCTGGCATCAACAAGGTTCCACCACGTGAAGCCAGAAGTATGCCTAATTTGGGTATGGTCTTCAAGAGGGTTGGTGTCCCTGTGGTTGGGTTGTGGGTAGGAGGCCCAAGGCCTCAGATTGTGTGGACTCTGATGCTGACTGTGAACCCAGGCGTTCAGCCTCTGGGGTGAGTGGTAATGGTGTGTTGCTGCGGCAAAGAATGGCCAAGTAAAAATTCAGAACCTGCTATCTCAGCAATTACAAGAACAACTTTGGGGCTAGTTGGCAGGGCAGATCTGGGAATAACCACTGTAATTAGGTCCTTTAGCTGCCGCCTGCTCAGGCCTAGACCACAGCTCTGACAGACATCTGGAAGAAAATGTCGCACACGGGCAGAATCCTTGGTAGTCAAAAGCTGAAGCCCAGTCAGCCGTGCCCCCTCTAAAGGACACTGATCCTGCGTCGTTCTCACAATCGTTCCCATGCCAGAGCTCATTGTCCCCGCACGCTCAGTTCATCTCGGTGCGACCCTTCCTCTTTTTGTTGCCACTCTTACCAGGCATGTTCTTCTCCAGGGATAGCCTATCCAGTGTGTCAAAGTCCTGCCATGCTTACCTCTAAGGAGCAAACTTCCGAGACGTTTGTCCTTTTAAGTCGATGGCACATCCCTGACTTCTCGACCAGGTCTGGTGTCCCCAGTCAGTAAGCTGGGATTGCAGGTGAGGGAAACCCAGGGGCTTCTTCATACCCTTTCCACAAAGATCTGGTCTGAGACTCAAGTCTCACTTCTCAACCCAGCAGCCTGCCAGCTACCACCACCACCACCACCCCATGCTCTGGGCAAACTTTCCCTCTTGCTGGGGACAGATCTGTGCAGTACACTTGCAGCCACTCATCGATCCTGGTCCAAGTTCAAGTGATGACGCTGGGTCCCTGCCAGTGGCCCATGGGTAGCCCAAGGCACAGAGGGGAAACTGGCAAAGGCTTTCAACTGCCAATTACTTGGATACAGGAGGCAGCTGCACCCCAGGCAGCCTCCAGCCTCCTCAGCAACTCTCCCTCCACCTTTGCTCCTCTCCTTGAGTTCCTGGACATCAACCTTCTGTGCTATGGTCAGGTTCCCCTCATGCTGGGTCACTCTCATCACTGAAGCCGTGAGGACAACCTAGAGGGTGGGTGGGGGGTACTTTCTGGCCTCTTGGGAGAAACTTCCCCCCTACCTCAACCCCTCCAGCTTCCTCCCCAACCCTAGATGTATGAGACTTCCCAGGCTCCACCAGCCCACAGGCTTCCTGGTGTCCATGGCCCTCACCCCAGCCAGTGCTTGAAGGTCCAGACCTTTGCCTGCAAGAACACATTTTATTGAACAGCAAGGAGCTGGATGTCCCGGAGCCCAGGCACCAGTAGTCCACACGTTCCTCCAGGACTAAACAGCAGACCTGGAGCAAATGTCAGCTTCCAGCGCTCCAAGTGAATGACTTGGGGTTGGGGTGGGGTCTTGGCTGGCTTACTCACCTGTTTTATCTACAGAGTCGGGATGATAAACCACACAGATCACAGCTGTGTGGACACCAGGGGCAACCCACGGGCGGTTCTTGGCCCTATACCTGCCACTGAGCAACTCAATCTACAGCTGGCAGTTGTTAGTACTATTGTCGGCCGTGCCCTCTTCAAGCTACGGTGCCAGTAAGAAGTGCGAGCAAACAGGGTTCTGGCTAATCCTCAGGCCTTAGGACTCAGTGGCCCTGGGACAGGTGGGGCCGCAGTGGCTTCCCTGGTACAGGTTTTTCTCCAGGTCAGTTGGTGTCCGAGCTGAATGCACCCTGCACACGTACAAAGTTAGAGAAGGGGATACAAGCTGCGGCGGTGGGAACCCAAGGGACTACTGGGAAGTGACGGAGCCAGGCTGGGGCAGGTAAGCAAATGACAGAGGACATGTGGGATGAGGCAGAGAAGTGGTGGAGGAAGCTCACAGCTGCCCAGGATGGACCAGCAGGGACAGTGACCCTGGGAAATGCAGACTCCTCACAGGAGGTGGCCGAGTCAGAGTGGATGCAGATGGACAATGCCACTTACACCAAGGGGTCCCCAGAACAAGGCAGGCAGAGAGCAGGTTAACTTGGAATAGGAACATTTCCAAGATGATCTCTCCTCCAAGAAGCCAAGCCAAGTGAAGGCCTGGGCTCGATGCACTGCTTCCAGGGCGAGGGTTGTGGGTGCCGGCAGGGCCCTTCCCGGGTCCCCAATTCCTGCCCTGGCAGGGATGGGCTGGCTTCTGTTTGGAAGCCTGTATGCATAGATGCCTCTGGAAGGGGCCTCAGAAGGGTCTCAAGGCTGGAGGGGAGCATGCTACCCTGCAAGCAATGGCCAAGAGGGTCTCATGCTCCACATCCCCAGAGGGCCCCTGAGACAGAACTGTAGGCCGCCTCTTCTATGCTAAGGCCTTTAATTTGAGCTAAGGGGTGTGCTCCTCTAGCCCCAGCTCCTCCTCCTCTGGCTCCTCCAGCCCTGGCTCCACCTTGGTTTTCACCTTGGATGCCAGGCCTGCTGCCTTCCCGCCGCCCTCCCCAGGCCCTCCTTGCTCCTTCTGCTCTGGCTCTTCCTCGGTACCCTGGCTCCCTTTCTCAGCCTCCTTGGCTGCTGAAGCTGGGGATGCCGCCAGCGCCCCTGCCCCCGTGCCGTGGGTTTTCTCGTGCTGGTGCAGGTTGGAGCGGCGGCTGAAGCTCTTGCCACAAATGAGGCAGGAGAAGGGCCGGACACCGTGGTGGGTGCGCTGGTGGGCACTGAGGTGGGAGCTGTGGTTGAAGTTCTTGCCGCAGTGGCAGTGGAAGGGCTTCTCGCCGGTGTGGATGCGGATGTGAGCCAGGAGGTTGGAGGGATGGCTGAAACCCTTGCCGCACTCGGGGCAGGGGTAGGGCATGATGCCCGTGTGGATGCGCTGGTGGGTGACCAGGGCCGAGTTTTGCGTGAAGCACTTGCTGCAGAAGGGGCACTTGTAGGGCTTGATGCCCGTGTGGACGCTCTGGTGGGCCACCAGGTCCGAGCGGCGGGCAAAGGGCTTGGCGCACTGGTCGCACACGAAGGGCTTCTCGCCGGTGTGGATGCGCTCGTGCTGGATGAGCGTGGAGTTGCGGGTGAAGCTCTTGCCGCAGAGCAGGCAGGAGTAGGGCCGGATGCCCAGGTGCATCCGCTGGTGGGAGGTGAGGTGGGAGCTGTGGCTGAAGCACTTGCCGCACTCGGAGCAACCGTAGGGCTTCTCGCCCGTGTGGATGCGCCGGTGGGCGTTGAGGTTGGAGCGGTTGCTGAAGATCTTGCCGCACTGGTCGCACTTGTGGATCTTCTTGGCATTGCTCCTGGGAGGGGGCGCTGGCTTGCTCTCCTCCTCCAGACGCTTCTCCTCCAGGTGGTCCCCAAGCGAGCCCTGCGGTGCCTCCTCACCTTCCCCAACGACGGTGGTGAGCACCTCGCCTTCGCTGTTCTCAGGGAGGGAGGGGGAGCCTCTCTCCTCACTGAGCTGCTCGGCCACGCTGCGTTCCCTCGTCTCTGGGAAGCTGGTGGCTGGTGAGGTGGACTTTGCCTGCCCCTCAGGCTCAGGCTGCCCTTCGTCCTCGGCCTGCCCTGAGCCCAGGCTGCTGGCTGTGGCCTGCCCAGACTTCAGGGCACCCTCCAGGGCTTTGCCAGCCCTGGATCTGAAGGGCTTCACGTCCTCAAGGTCGACGGAGGCCTCAGCTGAGGCCTCCTTGTCCACCTCCATGGCTTCTGGGAAAAGAGGGCATCCAGTGAGGGGTTCGGAGAAAAGGGGAGGCGGGTTCTGGGGCACGGGGAAGGATAAGCACACCCCCTTCCCACTTCACCTGTGCACGTGGTCGCCTTCTCCTCATCTCCTCTCTGCTGGCCGGAGCTCGAGGCCTCGCCCTTCCGCTGCCCTTGGGAGGCCCAGAGAGACCTGCTGATGGGAAAGCCTGGCCGGAGAGAGACCCGGGCTCAGCCACGGGACTTGTGGGACCACCCAGCGCCAGAGAGAAGCACCCGCCCCCCCAAGGGGCGAGACACAAACTGAAGGGGGAGGAGGAGCTTGGTGACCGAGAGGAGCATAAAGCGGGCACAGAAAGTCCCTTTCCAGGGTGGCTTTGCCTTGGGGGCATTGATTTGGGAAAAAGACAGCAAGCATGCCTGCGCAGCTGTAAGAACGGAATCCAGCCCCTTGATTTCAGGCATTAGCATGTGCTTTGCTGCTGTGGCCACTGGAACCACCAGAAAACATCTTTTCAACACCACTTTCACAGAAGGGCAGTCGTCCTCAGAGACACTGTGCCTCCATGCTGGCCCTACTGGGGAGCTGGAGGGTCAGGAGTCTGTGAGACCCATCACAGGGGCTGCCCTGTCCCTAAGACTGCCCCAGGAGCACTGGGCAGAGGAAGGTACTCATGATCCCCCATCAACCTCACGCCAGCCAAGGACGTGAATCTCAAACGCTGCGCTCCAGAGCCCAAGGCTGATGCGGTGCCAGGTACAAAGGCCCGTGAGAGGGGCCGAGGCGCTGCTCCGAGACTGGGGCTGAGGCCAGGCTTTCTGCTCTGGCAGACACCTCTGCAGTGCGGCTTCCAGGAGGATTGTGGGAAGGCAGGATGAAGTCAGTATTGAAGTAATGTCCCCGCCCCCCTGCTCCGGCACTACCCAATGGCCCAGCCACCAGCCACGTGTGGCTACCGAAACCTGACAACAATGAAATACAATGAGACCCTAGGTTACACTGGCCACATTTCAAGAATTCAAAAGCCTATCTGGACAGCAGGTGCCACATTAGTGAGAAACGTGTGGTCATTAACCCAGAAAGTTCCAGAGATGAACTGGGGGTTGGGGGGGAGCTACATAGGCGGAGTGGACCCTCCAGGCCGCTCACCGCGCCTGCTCCTCTTCTGCAGGGCGTCTCTGTACATGCGCCGCTGCTCGTGGTCCAGGCGGCCCCACTCCTCCTGGGAGAGATACAAAGCCACATCCTCAAAGGTCACCGGCATCTGAAAGAGAGGAATGGTCACATCACGGTCCGGGCCACTGCATGGGGATGAGGAAAGGGACTAGATGCTGGGACTTTTGGTGGTGAAAGCCCAGATTCAAACCCACTGAACAGAGCCTACCCCAAAATGTGGACATGGGCATTCAAAGCATCCGCTGTGCGTGTGCATGTGCTCACGCATGCACACATGAGCAGGTATGAGAACACAGTGGCTGTACAGAGCAAGAGGGTACAGAGCGTCCTCTGGGGCCACACCTCCAGTTGTGAGCGTCACACACAGTCCTCCCAGCAGTCAGACCCCAGAGCAAGAAGTCACTCGGAGACTGCCTCTGCCCTTCCTGGGTGGCCTTGCAAGGGGCCAGCCCCACAGGGCAGGTTGGTGGATCCGGTCTTCTCAGGGAAGGCAGCAGGAGCCGAGCACCTACTATAGGGGAGCGGGGCGGGGCTAGGCTCCTATGGCTGGGACAGAGGGAACACTCACCTGGGACCAGGCAGTGAGGAGCGCTGCAGCCATCTGGCGGTCTCGGGTTCTCCCCTCCCGGGAAAGGGCCGGGGCCTGTGAGGAGGAGCGGGCTGGGGGAGCAGAGGGGGCCTCAGAGAGGATGGGGCAGCAAGGGACCCCACCTGGGCCCTGCAAACCCATCCCAGGCTTCCCCTAGACTTGGCCTCCTGGGACCTCCACAGACCCTCCAACTGCACTCCTAGGCTATGTGGGAGGCTTCTGCCAGGCAGGGGTGCCCGCAAGCCAGGACCCTGTCTCCCCACCCCCTGGGAAGCCACTCTCTGCTCACCCCTTGCTCAAGCCCCCACCTGCTCACCACCCACCATCCGCCCCACTCCTCCACCTCTGCCAGACAGGAGGCTCTTCTCCCTGGAGCCACGCTTCAGGGGCGGCCACTTCCGAGTGCTGCGAGCCCCTTCCTCCTGGGATGTCCCCTCGGGGTGTGGCTCTTCAGGCTCCTTCTTGGGCTGAGGTGACTCCTGAGCCGCTCCCAAAGGCACCGTCTCCTCTGACTCGGAAAGCATCTCTCCACAAGGATGATGGGGACCTGGAACCTAGGAGAGGCAGCCCTGTC